CTGTAATCAACTTACCCACTCTATTTGCTCCTGCTGCTCGCTAATGAGTGAAGACAAAGCAAACAGCACACTTTCAACTCCATCAGACTGAGATATTTACCTGTAGCCAGTTTGTGCCTAATCAAAATTAAAGCAAAGCAGGCAAAATTAGCTTGTTAGCATTTTTCACTGTTAGCATTGGAGAAATGTCACTTTTTGCCTGGGGCAGTTGTGGTAGCTTTACCACAAAGGGAAAAGCTATTGTACCAGCTACGTCCCTAAGCATTTAGTCCTGGGCATCCAAATGGAGCAAGAGTAATGATACGATAGTTTTCTATTAATTTATGCAGAAAAGCAAGGAGGCTGGGGACAGGGTAGACCAGCCTTAGCTCAAAGCATAATGTAACTGGCAAGTAACGAGCACTTTTTAGTCCTCTTTGATGTATGGATTTCTAACTTTTTTCTAACAGAGATGACCCTTTGTAGAAAAATTTTAAGCCAACTGGAAATAGATTTGCTTCTCTCATTTACCATTTCTGTGTCCTTTGGGAATCATCCCCACAGGCTAAAGATCTGTCTCTCTCTCTTAGATGTTGTGCCAAGCAGCATGCAAGTTAGGGCTATTTTGTGTACTGTTTTGTCCAAGTGTCCTCTACAGCATGCTTGGGAAGAGGTCATTTTTTGGGGAAGGATGGCCAGTTGTCCAGAGCCCAAGAACTTGTGTTCTGTTCTCATCTCTACCCAGATTCCCAGTATCACTTCAGGCCAGTTCCTTGTCTGCTTCATACTTCAACTCCCTGCCTGTAACACCAAGAGAGCACCGGGTCCTGTCTCAAAGATAGATACTCAGTAGATGAGCAAGTGCGACGTGACCCGTGGTGGAAGCTGGTTAAACAGACATGCAGATTTTGGGGATGACTTTTTTACTGAGTAGGCTAAAATTGTTCCTAAAGCTACAAGAGCTTTTGAGTTTGCAGGCAAGTGCATGGAGAGACAGGGCTTGTTAGTCATCCTGACTGAGGTGAAGTTATAGAGAGCAACATGGACTTCGAAAACCCAGAATTCTGGCTTAAAACACAGGAAATAGTCTATGTGCACAACAGCACTGGCATTCAGAGTTAAGGTAGAGAGTTCCTGTCAATCTTTAACTCGCCAGAGCAACTTCAACACTGCATACAGCCATCTTCTACCAGAATAGTGAAGACAACAACTTCTTTAGGCAGAAGCCAATTGAATTAACTATATGAGGGATTTCTGAACAGGTGGTGCCAAGTCCTAGTGCCTTCATTCATAATGTCAATGCCACAAGCACAGTGATTTTGTGTGTGTAATTCAGATCACCTCCACAATTTGCAAATATGCAAAGAATAGCCCATCTCTGTAAGCAAATACTTCAGAAACAGTAGTGACCACTTTGCTACAGCTGTAATTGCACTGGTGTTACTGGTGCATTTCCAGTACCAGCAACAACATCCTGGAAATTGGAGAATGCATATTTAAGGCAACGCTTTAAAGTGTTATTGCTAACTCTAAACAGTCAATTCTTCATTACACAGGATAATAGAACGTAGAGGACAGTGGAAAAACCCAGATGAGGGCTCTGCTTTTGTGGAGCAGGGCTCCTGAGGCAGAATAACATCAAGAAACCACTTCTGCTGAGTGAAAGGCTGCCACTGAGTTTGTAAACTGCTTCATCTGAGCTAATAACAGCCATGCTGAGACCCCAAACCAGCATGGACAGGGCAGCTGGGGTGCTTGTTCCCTTGCCAGGCTGATCCAGTCCAGAGGAGCCCCCATGGACAGCAAAGGGCTGATTCTTCCTGTTTCTCAGTGGTGAGCCACTCATGGAGGCACAAAGTCTACCCCAAATTGCTTTCTTCCGAAATGAAGCCCTGTCTTCATTATTTGTCTAAAATATAACCCTGAAATCAGCACATCCTGAAACATTCCCTCTTTAGTGTATTTTAAATAACAGCCCTGATATAAGGCCCTTTTGGAATAACATTAACATCTGGGCTGACCCCGCCTCCCTACCAAGTTTCAGCCTGATGTTAATTAAAACAGGCAAGTTATAAACCCCAGGAAATGGCAGCTGACCCTTGACTATGAATGCAATGCTGTAATAATATGCAGTAAAAAGGAGGCATAGTCAAACTGCTGCCCAGTTCATTCCTAGAACGATGCTCTTTCTTTCTCACTACTGTGCTCCCTTGATCTGGGAAGTGAGACCATTACCTCACCATCACCTTTGATGGGCTCCTCTCTGTTTTCAGGGTGGTAGGCGGCAGGGAGGCAGCCTGCGTTCCCCGAGTCACCCATAAGAAAATGATCCTGGTGTGACAGAAGAAGCTGTCTCTTGTAAATCTGAAAAGTAAAACATGGTTTCCTGACCACGTGTGGTCACTGATGATCCCGTGTTGCTCTCTGTCAGGACAGGGTTAGCCAGAGCAGACCTGATGCCTGGAAAAAGAAAGGATTATTCTTTCCACTCTGTATTCCGAGCTGGATATGAATGGGGAAGGTGGAGGAGGATGGCCCCAAGAAAGTGGATATAAACTCCCGAGCTGAGGGCAGAGCAGAGGTTTGCCATGTGCCACCTTCAGAGATGCCACCTCAGCTCTGTGCTGGAGCAGCGAGAAGATGCAGAGTTTACTTGCATGTGTCCATCACTGTAGCTGACCTTTCTTTGGTGGTCCATAAGCAAAAGAGTGTAGGTGGCTGTGATAGTGAGCCAGCTGACAGCTGAGAGCCAGAGTGGTGAGATGGGGTCAGGGTGGAACTGGAGAAACCCCTGAGCAGCATCACCACATCTCTCGCTGACTGAATATTAGATGTGATTTGGAAGTAATTAAAGGAATGTTTTTGTTGTTGTTGGAAAATTCAGTACTGTTGAAATGGGACTGTTTCCTCTCAAGATGTTGCTTTTTGTCAAGCTATGAATGAACAGGAAAAAAAACAACAAACACAAAAACCCTCCCGAAACAAAACAAAACAAGCAAAACCCCAAATCCAAAGGGCTCCTTGCCCTGCAAGCCTCTCTAAGTAAACCCTATAGGTTTCAGTTCCTGTGGCACATCAGAATCCAGCACGGCAGCGTTCACAGGGTCCCAGAGAATGTGTCCCATTGTTTGTAAACAAATTAAGCTAGCTTTTGAGCAGCTACATTTTATCTTCTCTGCGAGCTGGAGGAATCAGGATATGAGCCTACGAAAGGCTGGGATGTAATGGATACACCCTGCCCCTTCTCTCTTTGAGGCATGGGAAAGGTCAACTTTTGTCCTCTAAAATGTGTCACTGCTATAAATATGACTGCATAATTTATTGCAAATTGTTTAGCAAATTTATTACAAACTATTAATAAACCTCCTTGAAACAGCACAATGAGCGTGTGCAATAAACAAGGAAAATATTTGCTTGATTCAAACCACATTGGATGATGCTAAATTACTGTTGAATAGATACATTTTGAAGGCCTAGAGGGATGAGCGCAGCCAGCGCCCGGATGCTGCATTGCTTGCCCAGAGCACACATGTCAGAAAATGTCGGGGAAGTGACCAAACCTTTTTGTCAATGGTTTAAAGCTGAGATAAGCCCCGAGTGTTTAAATTGGCAATTCTAATAGCTACCTCAATCCAATCCAATTCACAGCAGCTTGGCTTGTAAGGCAATCGGTGATACAGTGTTAATGCCAACTAATCTGATAAAAATTGACACAATGACAACGTTGGGCCATTAGTTACCAGCAGTTTTTATGTCTGTGTAAATCCATCGTGTTTTACAAGGTACATGGGATTCTGGGAGTCAGGGAATCCTTCTGTTTTTTCCGAACTGTGGAAATAAAGCGGTTTTGCCAGGGAAGCAAACTCATCCTCTTGCCGTGCGCGCTGCCTCTGAGCACGAGAGTGTTAAATGGCAAAATTCATCACAACTAATTTCTATTTGCCATCTATTAGGCTACATTGTTTTGTCCTCAACGTCAGGTTAAATAATGAACCTCTCGGAATAGAGTAAATTAACCTCCACTTTATGTTCATGTCATTGTCAAATGGAAACATCACTTGTACAAATGAAAAAGATTCATTAGTAAAGCTAATGCATAGGCTCCACTCCAGTAAAAGATAAGAGCGATTGAGGCCTTGTCATAATGCCGTGTTGAACCGCTGGCTTGTTATTTATGATGCCTGCCATAATCTTTGGAGATTATTTTCAGCAATGGTAATTAGCACACAATGCATCAGGAACAATTATGGAACAATGTCTTAGCTTGACAGGTATGCCACCCTGCTGCAGGCGAGCTATGATCCATGAGAAATTCAATCAAATCTGCATGCTGCAGGGAGTTTATTAATATTTCTCCTTCCAAGGCAGTTTGAAAGGCAGCTATGCTTGACCGGCCACCCAAAAATACTTAGCAGCGTGATATGAGTGTGCTCCTTGTTAATACACACCTATCTGCACAGAGCCTTCCTATGCACTTCCAGCTGATTAAAATAATGTCTGTGATTTTGCTGTTTACCACAGTGACGAGAAAATTGCTACCTCCCCTCGCTGGCCACGGGGCCTCATTCAGGGTAGGCTGTTGCTAAAGGAGCTCTGTAACGAAGTGGCAAATTCCTGCACTGACACAAATCCTGTAAGTCTGCTCAAAGCAGTGGGACTATGCTGATTTACAACTCCTTACATCCCAGTTTAGGAATCAAAGTATCCCCGATGAAGGCAATTTTCCACTGAATAGCACAAATGCAACAGCGTGGCAGTTTCTTGTTTCTGTGTGAAGCCTCTCACGAGAAATCTGGGGCATCAACAGTGCACAAAGGAGAGGTGCCGTTGAGGAGCATTGCACGTGGATGGCAAGTGTGGGACAGTTTAGAGGTTGGACATCAAAGATCCTTGGAGCAATGATGGTTATTGGGCCCCCCAGGCAGGATCAGTGTGGAGCAAGGGGAGTCTCATCTTTGCTGCCCTATTTGAGCTGTAAAGTGTCCTCTTGCCACCCCTTATCCACTCCCCTAAAAAAGTTGTTGCCAGGTGGCTGAATGCAGCTTCCATCCTGCACAGGATGCAGGAGCTCAGGAATGCAGGATGGGGCTGTGGGAATTACCAGCTCCTGTAGAGAGTTATGGGAGATAAGTGGGAATTGGGGTCATCTGAGCTGGCTTTATAAACCTGAAGGCTTGGGACAGTCCTCTTTCCTGCTGGCAACTTCCATGACTTACAGCAGCATCTCATTTCAATGGTCAGTGGAAGGATCACCTCTCTTTTTCCAGGCTACCTAGGCTATCTTAGGGCTCCATAAATGCCAGACAGTAGCAGGAGACTGAGATCACAGAAGGCATATAAAGCCTAAATTCTTCTGTGGCTGAGGAAGGTAGGACCCCAAACGCATTTAGGAGTGTTGTGACTCCAGCTGATCTGCCATGAACCACTTTATTTCCATAGGGTTCAGAGAATTCCTGCCATGTGACTGCTCATTACTTCCGTGAGCCAGCACAAAGTTAATGTATGTGGCACATGCGGTGGTTGTAGCCCCCCCCCACAGTGTAGATGTAGCATCTGTGGCTACAACTGATTTTAGTACCTGCTGAATAATCCTTCTGATGTTTTAGAGACAATGGCACATGCACCATCGTTTTGTTGTTTTCTTTTTCAGTAGTGGCATGTGGATCTTCCAGCCAACTTCTAGACCTGCCTAGGAGTGCACAGCAGAACTGTACAAGATGGGGCCAAGCTGAGGTGAGGAGATACACAAATCATGTATCAGTCTTTAGAAATTCAGTAGTTTTCTAGCTTCATTAAAAAATAACAGTACAAAGCCAGAGAGCACCTTGGCCACATCTTAAGAGGACTTTGGCTTCATGTTTCTGGGCAACCTGATACAGTTGAAGACGTCCCTGCTCAGTGCAGTGGGGCTGGACTAGATGACCTTTGAAGGTCCCTTCCAACCCAGTTTATTCTGATTCTGTGTTTCTTAGATATGCAGATTGAGATAACTGCCTGATAAATACTGTTTAACATCTTCTTTGGTTACTGATAGACTGGGGGATACTTTATCATCCTCATTTAATAAAAATACATCACTCTGCTTCTTTCTACGTGCAGAAGTGGAAGTGCTAAATGCACATTTCTGCCCATTCTGCATCATTATTAATGATTTATCATTGTCATCCTTTAATAGGCTTATATAATGATTAGGATTTCTTTTGTTCTTAATAATGCTTAAAGATCATTAAGAAAGAGTATTCATGCGCACATGTCAGCGGGTGAAGAGACACCCTTAACACAGGGGGACATCCTGGGTGGAGAGCAAGAATGTGGAAAGGATGGCTGGTTGCATTTAGCAGCACCGACCATGTTATAAAATCATCAGTCGGAAAGGAATTGTTGCTTTTTGTTTATTTTAACATCATTTTCCATGGGGACTGCTGCTAGGGGCTGAAAGGCACGTCTGAGTTGTGTTTTTCTCTAATGCAAACATTGTTCGGTACTTCTGTTGCACACAAGCTCTTTCCTTCCTCCTGTTTGGTATTTAAATGTATGGATGGCTTGTGATTAGGAGCAGGTGGAGGGGGAGAACAGGACAAAGTGATTTTAAGTCACTCCTCTTTTGTGCCACCATCTGTTCCTGGGCTGGAGTGAAAGTGAATGCACACAAAACTGATCGGCACCATAACTTTTCCAAAGAAAATGAGGATGATCAGGAGAATCCCAGGGGACATAGGCCTGATGGGAGAGGTCACACCCTCCTCCTCTATACCCTGACAGATTGCTGTGCTGCTTTTCTGCTTGGAACAGACAAGCCACCATTTATTAATTATGGGTTGTTCTGCTGCTGAACCTAAAACTTGGGCCCCCCCTGTGCTCGGTGCTGTATTAACACAGAGCTCAGCGGCAGTCATTGGCCCCAAAGACCTTACAGTTTGCATGTAAGAATAAAGAAAACAGATGGATACAACAAACCGACTGCAGGAGCATGAAGTAACCATGAGACAATTATGATCCGTTAAACTATTCAGGTCAGGAAATGCACTGCAATACTATCCTCAATTGAAACACTAGAAGGATGCTAAATGGGCAGAGGGCAGAGTGTAATGATTAGATTTGGGACAATGGATTGAACGTTCTATTGCAGACATTGCCACAGGATTTTTAATGATCAGTTTTGATTATGGCTTGTGTTTTACATACTACCCAAGGAACCTGTATCTCCAGTTGCTTTATAGCTCCTTGATGTGCACCTTGTGAAGACCTAGAGGGCTGGTATTTAACATTCACATTAATTTTGATGAGATATTCTGTGATAATAAAGCAGCGATAAGCACTGAACTGATCACTGGGGCTTGCACATCTCAGAAGTTGAGTATCTCCCCTCAGAAAACAGCTTTGGTTGCCGTAGCCATCCCTGCAAAACATACCTGCCACTCCACATACCAAAAAGCACTGAAAGTTGTTTGGGAACAGGCTCAGGATGTTCCAAAGGCATTTGCTCAGTGTGTGAGTCAGCTCAAGGTGAGGGACCTTTAGAGGGCACTGAAAAATACCTAGCCGGGCTTCTAGATTCTACACTGATGGTGCTGTGGACATGGCACCTGGCAGAAAGAAGCCTAACGTGATTCCAACCCCAAATTTAGCACAGGGACTGTGCTTCACGTGGGCAGAGCCTAAAAAGAGTGCAGGATACAAGCAGCTAGTTGTGAAGCTGGAGATGTGTGGTGTGTGCAGGTACCTGCAGCCCTTCTGCGCTCAGGAGCAGCCTAAGCTTTGTGTGCTCCTCACTTGCCTTCTGTCCAGCACCTACTTGCTCAGTGCAGAGCAACACTAGACATCATGCTGTGGTATCCAGCTGAGAAGATCCCTATGGACATTCTTGAGGGACTGAAGACAGTATCAGCCTACCAAGCTAATGAATGCTTTCCACCTCTGCCCACCTCAAGGAAGGCCGAGGTCCGTCAACAGCTGTCTGCTTGCTTTTAATGGACTTCTCTGAAGGTGATGCTGGCCTGAGATCTTCAGTGATGCTGCTGCAAACATCCAGTGAATAAGGACAGAGTGAGGATTTCCCTTAGAGGCTTTGAATAGTTCGTTGCTCAGAGTAAAGTGTCTGCCTGTTGCTTGAGGAGCCTGTCCAGATAGCGGGCTTTGCTGTACTTGTACTCACCTTCTATGAATGTTTGGGTTGGCTCCAACCTATTGTAGCTCTCCAGAGTTTTACAACTTTAAATCAGGTATTCAGTGGTCTCTGACTCCACGTTGGTCCATAGAGCCAAACCCTGACAAAAACTGTTTAATGCCTTATACAAGTTATTTTCTTTTTAATGATTCCGGCCAGAGATGCTGAGTTGAAGAACCAAACTAATTTCATGTGCTTCTCCAACACCCCATTATGACATTTATGACATATTTTTCTGTTTAGAGGGATGATTTTTTCCAGATGCCAGCACATCTAAAACTACCTAATGAGATTTCCACAGATGTAGAGCTTAAAACCGTCTACAGTATTCTTATTTTTCTCTCTAAGTGATGATGCTTTCCAACTGAAACATTTCCCGTATAAAGCACTAGAAACAGTTCAATGTGTATCAGATTCATAGACAGAAAAGCTTGTTCATTTTAAGGCAGGTATTGTAATTGAGTCTTGGATTTTCTACCACTTGATTTGAAATGAGTTTTTTTCTTTGGTGTTGGTCAAGATTTAAAGACCAAATTCCAGATCTGGAGTTCAAGGTGGACAGGGATCACTTCAAAGGCTCTGTACCTCTTCTCTGCAGTAACACCACTTCCCTACACATAGTGTCTTGCCTTCTGCATTGCAAAGAAGGTATCATTGGATCTGTTTTACGCTAGGAAAAGCCAGGAACAGAAAGATGAAGTGACCAGTGGGTCAATCTCCCTCTTTTCTCCATGGCTGGGAGAAGCCTTTGTTTCTTTGAGGACAGTTGATGCTTTCCCTGTCTTGTTATTTTCATCCTTTGCAGGATGGTGATGGTGAGTGGTCTCTACAGGGTGGACTCTACCCCTCTACTCCCTGCTCTTTTTCCCCTAGTCTTCCCATTTAGGAGGGAGGAAACTAGGCTGAGAATTGTTTACCCCACCAGATGAGGCACTGTGCAAGGTCATTTAGGGTCCCCAGAAGAAAACCAGGCAGATGCAATGTGGTTGTTATTTGATGAGAGCCTCAGCAAGGCAGGATGTTTATACTGCTGCTGGATGGTCATTTTCACCTTTGTTCTTTACACTTTTCTTTCCTAATGCAGCTGATGAGACCCATAGTTTGTTCAGGATCAGGAAAAACATCTGACTCCTTGAGAGCCATTCCCCTGGTGAATATGGAACAACACAAGCAAAAGATCTTGTGTTATTCTGTGGCTGGCACCAGGATTACTCTCTTGGATGTAATACCCAGGATGTGGAGACATGAGAAAGCTGTTCAACCATGTATTGGGTGGGTGTAAATCCTGCAACCTACTGCTTCCCCACATTTCTTCTGCTTTCACACAGAACAATTATTATATTTCAGTGAAGAATGACCCCTATTACACTTGAAATAAATTGCAGCATTGTCTGGAAATATTTAAGCCGAATCTCTTTCACTCCTGTAGGAGCAGAACACCCACAACCAAGGAAGGGAGGCTGGGCCGTTCCAGCACTGAACTCAGCCTTGCAGATGTCTGTCACCTGTTTCTAAGGAAATGTGCAAGTGTTTGGGAAAGAGCTGGGCTTCGTTGTTATTGTGGGAATCTGAAACCACTCTGAACTTTGCCCTTCTATCCCCTTTCCAAATTTCTTTTTCTGTTTTTTACAGAAGAGAAATTACTATGCTCATACTTCACTCACTGCTTTGCATTAAGGGCTCTCTTCTACAAAATGCCAAGTGCTCTTAACTCTTGTCCAAGCTCAAAGTTGCTCTGACCTTGCCAGAATTGAGCTATAAGATTCAGATTTGGCCATAAGCTAGAAAGTCAATCTCTAGCCCATGTTAACTGATCTCTTCAGGCAACACCCCCACTCCTGGCTGGGGAAGGGTGTCATTCAGCATGACACATGGTATTAATACGTAAGAACAGACCATACCTGCAGTAGTGTTTCCATTTGTGGGGCCCATACCTCTTGCACTACTCGGCAGTGTGCTAGGCAGGAAAATGAGTAGTGTGCCTTCAACCAGCTAGTGGGGCTGCTAAACAAGAAGCTATTGGTCCCTCATGGAGAAGGGCAGAAGCTGGATGCCTGTAGAACAGGAGAGAAAATCTTGTGGTCTGGATCTGGCCCCAATCTTTCTGAATAGCCCACAGCTAGGTTACTCCCTTTCCATTCTCACCAACTGCATGAGACTCTTAACTGAGCTCCATCACTAAAATCTTGTTCCTTCACCCCAGCAGTTTGGCAGGTCACTGTGCTTCTCAGGAATGCAAATAAGAGAAAGCCTTAGCAAGTGGAAAGCATGGTATGATGCTTGTCATGAGGAATCTTCCCAAACTAGTGCCATTGTTACGCAGCTGTCTGTCCTTCTCAGTCCAAGCACAATCATGTCTTGGAGAAGCTGCTTTCCAGGCTTCAGACTGTGAGCAGAGCTCATCTGACTCCTCCATGGGAAACAAACACGCTGCAGAGCTGGATGTTGTTTTACAGGAGAGGTGCCCCACATCTGGTACAACCTCATGGACACCAAGTTTAATAAATCAAGAGCAGGATCAAGACAATCATCCAGATGCTGTATTGGGTGGGACTGTCAGCTGGGATAATTTTGGATCCAGAAGCAGGTTCATGTCCCAGCAAATAAAAGAGGTATGGGTTTAGTTGGAGTTAAAGCCAGCTTGAATATCTGTCAACTGCTCCCTCAGTGGAATGTTTTGGTGTTAGAAGCTATCTAGAAGAGGGTGAGAATATTGTCCACCTTTGCATTTTGTGTAATAAAATGATCCCTGGTCAGCTGCCCGGTCAGTTAAGAATAATGCATCCACCACTTTGCATGATTAATCAGATGTCAGGATGTATGCTCCCTCCCAGCATATCATCCCATGGCAGCCAGCAGCGCGTTTACAAATGTAGAAAGAAAGAAAAAAAAAAGCAATAATAGGAAAAAGAATTATTTTTATGTGTACTTGTCTGAAGACATATTTTTCCATTCAGTAATTTGAAAAAAATAACCATCTGGAAAAAATCATATTATGGACAAGGCATGTCATGACATTTACAGCAAATATTTTTGCTGCTAGTATCAAAACCAGCCCTTTGCTCTATCAAGGGCTGAATATTCATATACACATAAATGTTCAGTAAATAAAAGGGCCTCTGTAGAAACTCCTTGCTGGGCAATCCTGCGCTCCCAGAGTTCACATTCTCATTTGTTTATACTTTTTTCAAACCCCTATTTTTTGCATCTCAGATGTAAGTGCCTGTAGTTCCTTTCCTTTGCCCTTTTGGTCTCAGGAGGATGACAATAAAAGGCACTTCTGTGGAAAAAGTCCTGATGTAAGTAAAGGTATCAGGAGGTTATGAGGTCATGAGCATAAATGAGGCAAATTTTCCAAAGAAATTATCAAGAAAATTTATAATCGTAGGCAGTCTTGTTGAGCCAGAAGAAGAAATTAAATGTGTGCATCGTGTGCCAGGTTTTGAGAGGGAGCAGAGAAAGAAACCAAACAGCTCCTGTCATCTTCTAGATTGGTTGGAGCCTCCTAAGTATGTTGGTCCCTGTAAGCTGCACTGTGGCAGCAGTGCTTGCGGTTGAATGACAACTCCCCTCTCTGTGGCACTCCTCCTATTGAGGTAGAAGAGCCTTTATTAAAACTCAGCACTCTTTTTGAGTCTAGAGGTTAATGTATGGGTTACATGAGGTGTACGTCTTGCACAGGGTCTTTTTCACATAGGCAGGATGCCCCCACTTTGGGTTATCTGCAGTCTGTGCATCCTACAGGATGTTTTCTCCTTTGGGGTATCTGGAGCACATTCCTGGGATGCTGCAGGGTCCAGTATCCGTACAGGTATCTGCATTCCTCTCCAAAGCAGCAGCTCTGAGGATACTGTTTCTGTAAAGATCATGCCTTGAAAAGGTGAGATGTCAGCATCTACACTGGGGTGGCACAAAGAAGGAAATTACGGCTTTGGTTTACAGAGCAGTAAGCAGTGGTGACATTGGCAGCCAGATGTTCCCAGGGTGTGGGTGTTTGGATGCACAGGTTTCCCTGAAGCCAGCCTCTGTCTGTTGAGAGGTTATGGGCTGTAACGTTCATACTGCTTGTAACATCCAATTACCATATGCACTATAAACTCATATATATCGTGGGCTTTGAATGTTCCTTTAAAAATATAATTTAATATATTAAACTATAGAAACTGTCAGGTAGTACTGATACTTATATTTCTTTATCGTATGTATTATCATACCTTTAAAATCTAAAAGGTTCTAGGAATTCTCCCTGTTTTGCATGGATTCTGAACATAACCTACTATTTTACTCAAGCAGGCACTTTGCAACTGTTACAGTTAATTTTAAATATATTTTCCTCTTAGCATCTTATGAGCACTGCCTCCCAAGGTGCCTCCACAAATGATGGAGGTAGCAGACAAGCAGTTGTTCTGTTTAGCCTCCTTGAAATGGTAACGTGGTAATTCTTAATCGCAGCATGTGACTCCTTTGACATAAAGGAAAAGTGATTCCTTCTCTGGGAGGAGGGGCAGTGGAAATGAATCTTCTTAACAAAAATCAATACCCCAAAATTTGAAATCAGTTGATGCAACTATCTGAGTTCAACTTGCTTATTAACAGACCTGACCAATCAGTTCCATGTGCTCCCTGTTGCTAAGTTGCCTCTATAAACAAATTGATTAATTGATTTATATTTTTCCCCCCAAGGCCTTTTAGTGTATAAGCAGGTCAGGCAGCTATGATTTCATTCTGCTCATCTGCTCAGCACTGGCTTTGTAAATCAGGTTGGAATCCCAGTTCTTCATCTCAAAGATCAGCAGTGTCATCTGAAAACTCAGAGAGAGAGGTGGATTCATGGAGAAACTTCAGCTCTCTGAGAAGATGGGGAAAGAGTGGGACTGGATTTCAGTGTGGGAGTGGAAACTATCCACCGTGTCCCTGAATTTGGAGTTCTTAGGTCAGAACCTGTCCTTATAGCTTCAGACTTAGTTTGAACTGGAAAAAAAAGTAAGGAATAAACGTACGGTTTTAATTTGGCTTTCTCTTCCAGCTGTTTCTGAGTGAGATCTTGACTGAAAATCTGTTTGAACTGGCTATATTAACCTACCTCTATGATTTGAGGCCAGATTCTAGTGAGAACAATGTCTGAGATTTTAGAGATGTCACAAATAGCCCTAGGCCTCAGTTTGCTATTAAATTTGTGTTTAATCTCGTCTCTACAGCAAAGCTGCCTTTGCAGATAGTCCTGGTGGCCCTATTGCTGGGCATGATTAGAAGCTGGGTCTGTTTTGCTCAGCATGTTACTGCTTGACAATTCACCACTGGGTTTTTGAAGCTGTGTTCCCGATGCCAGGCAGAAAGGCAGCCAGAGCAAGCCTCTTGCAGCTTCAAAGTCAGAAAACAAAGATATTCCCACAGTACACTGAACAAAATGAAAAAAAACAAACAAAATAAACCAAAAAGAAGAGGAAATCTAGAGTCTTCACTATGTCAGCAGTAGCAAAGGAGACAAAGGGCCAGGTCTGGAGCTGGCATAGCCACAGGGGAAGGAAGAACCACAGCTGCCTTTTATTGCAGAATGATGCAAGCTGGATGCAGGCAGCCCCTTTTAAACTTCCTTAAACCCGATCTATCTTCCTGCTACTCCACCCTATGTGACAGGCTGTTTTAAGAGGTAAGAAAAGCATCTTGCTAAATAGCTTTGGAGGCTTGCTGCCATTAGCAGAATGTTTAATTCCTTAGCAAATGATTTCTGGACTTAGTTATTTACTTAATTAGCTGTGATTGTATTGAATGAATTCCTAGTCTTAAAGCTGAATGGGAAGTATGCATGTGCAAAGACTAGGTACTGCAGGACCTGTGCAAATGGCAATTGATACCATGGAAGTGTGTGGAAATTACTGCTGGTGTGTGCCTTGGTAGGCTACTACTGGGGGAACAGGTTAACAGAAAAGGAGACTGGCAAGGTGGTCTTGAGTCTACTGGATGTATTAGTAAAGAGATCAAACCCAAAATGTTTTAGCCAAAATTTGAAATGTTTTCAGTTGTAAAAAGGCGTCTTTCCTGAATCTGGAAACACAAAATGAATTGGGTATCTAGGGGGTATTTTGGATTAAAATCAGCTATTTCAAAATGCTAATAGTTTATATACTGGCATGTCACTTCATGTACTTCTTTCCTTTCTGTTCCCCTACACCCTACTTAGATGAAGAAGCCAGAGAATGCAACAACAGCCGTATCTTTCTGGAATGGGTTCCTCCATATCTCCTCGGTTTTACTTTTCCTAAAGTTGTGGATTTTCTGGGTATTTTCACAATCTTTCAACTGCAAACAAACTGAAAAACAGCAGAAAATCAACTGGAAAAAAGAGAGTAAAAATGGAGGGGGAAAAATAGGGGAAGTATCAGTGATTCCATCACAGTAAGTTTCAAAACCTAGTGGAGAAATAAAAAGAAGGGGGAAAAAAAAAGGCTTTAGAAAAATCACCACAAATATTTCAGAGTGAAAGGTTTTGGAATAAAAAAAACTATGACATTTTTAAACAGTTCTTCTGTTTGTTTAAATCAGTTCCAGCGCTATCAAGTTAGCTTAGAAACAGAAGTGTTAGAGTCAAGAGGTTCAAAATGCAGCCTTTTAAAGAGCAAATTGAATTTCCAGAAGGATTTCATAGTCTTTTGTAGAGAAAGATTGATGCTTTTTGGGAGTCAAGGTTTGGACCAGGCTTGGGGTTTAAGGCTGAAATCACACGAACTTTGTTTCTGTAGTTTTTGGCTGCACAGCAGCAAACATCTTGCTCCATTATCTCGATTTGCAAAAGCATCACAAGAGTAGTTGCTCTAATGAGCTCTTGGTTCTTTTCCCATTTTAGGTTAGATGCAAACCCAAAACACTGGTGGCTGATTCAGACCTTGGGATTTGAGCCTGAACTTATCCCAGAATTTAGAGATGTTGATCTTCAAGATTTTGGCTTTTACCTATTTCCAGTCAAAATACATTTTGCATGACTTAATCACTTAGTTAAGTAAATTGAAGGCGGTTAATTGTTTGTTTCTTTCTTTAGTCTCAAAGTAATTAAAAGTTAATTCTTTCCATAGTTGAAACTATACTCTGAAGCAGAAAAAAATTAAGATTTTATTACTACCAAGGGTTTTGTTATTGATCCTAATGATATAATTATGCTTGTCCTCAAGGTGATTCAAGGTAATAATGCCTTTTCTCTGTAGATTTGAGGTCTCACCAAACATTAATTGAATACCTGTGCTGGTTTTGGCTGGGGTACAGTTAATTTTCTTCACAGTAGTTTGTATGGGGCTGGGTTTTGGATTTGTGCTGGAAACAGTGCTGATAATATAGGTCCGTTTTAGCTATTGCTGAGCAGTACTTGCACAGAGCCAAGGCCTTTTCTGCTCATCACTCCACCAGCAAGGAGGCCGGGGGTGCACGAGGAGTTGGGAGGCGACACAACCAGGGCAGCTGACCCCAACTGACCCAAAGGACATTCCATACTATATGACATACTGCTAGCATGTAGAGCTGGGGGAAGCTGGGAGATGAAGAGGGGGAAGTTCAGAGTGAGGACATTTATCTTCTCAAGTCACCATTATGCGTGATGGAGCCCTGCTTTCCTGGAGATGCCTGAACACCTGCCTGCAAAGGGAAGTGGTGAATGAATTCCTTGGTTTGCTTTACCAAGGCTTGGTAAAGCTTTGTGTGGCTTTTCCTTTATCTATTAAACTGTCTTTATCTTAACCCACAAACTTTTTCACTTTTACTCTCCCCACTCCAGCTGTGGGGTAGTGAGCAAGTGTCTAGATGGTGCTTAGCTCCTGGCTGGGGTTAAACCATGTCACTACTTCACCTTAGAAACAAGATAGGCTTGTGTAGCTTGTGTGCTACAGTGGCTATTGCATTAGCTTTAACTGTAGGCAGACTAGGGCATAACATTGCCAGGGAACACGTATACGCATTGCTCTCTGTGTCTTTACAGCCAGCCAAAGAAAAGTGTGCAATGGTCCCAGGGCTGGTACTGTCTTTGCCCTCAGCAGGGCCATGTGGTGGCCTCAAAGCTTGTCTGGATGCCACCAGCTGGGACAGCCCTGGGCTGTGCTCTGTTTCTTAGAACAAATAAGACCCCAGAACAGAATGCAACTGAAGAATGACAGGCCAATGTATATTTAGGAGTAGGAAAAGAAGATTTTCCTATTTCGATCCATCCTTTCCCTGGCTGTCAGCGAGCAGATACTAGATCAATAGGACATGGCTTACGCCTACTACCATGGTGAGGCAACCAGGGCCTTCCCCTGGTGCATACTAATTTTTGTTTCTCTCCTCTTGCCACTTTGGCCCTTTTATACATTTCTTCACTGTACTAGAAATTTCTTTTATGTATCAAAGAAAAGAGCCTTAAAAGATCCCTTCAAATGCCAAAACATCAGAAACAGTGGAGAAATGTAGCATGACATTCAAGTTTAGGCA